CCTACAGCTGATAAACACCTTCAGCAAACTAGCAGGAACAAGATAAACTCAAAAACATCAATAGCCCTAATTTATTCAGACAACAAAGGGGCTGCGAAAGAAAACAGAGAAATATCACCCTTTACAATACCCACAAGCAACATAAAGCATCATGGGGAATGCTTACCAAACACATGACAGTCCTATATAATAAGAACTTTGTATCTTTAAAGAAAGATATTAAATAAGATACCAGAAAATGGAAAGATCTCCTATGCCCTTGAATAGTTAGGATAAACATAGTAAAAATGACAATCTTGCCAAAAGCAATCTACAGATTCAATGCAATCCCCATTAACACCCCAGCACAATTCTTCACTTATCTTGAAAGGATAATAATCAACCTTAATGGAAAAACAAAAGACCCAGGATAGCCAAAACAACCCTGTACAATAAAGGAACTTCAGAAGGAATCATTATCTCCAACTTTAAGCTCTACTACAGAGCTATAGTCCTGAAAACAGCCTGGTATTGGCACAAAAATAGACAAGTAGAGCAAAGGAATCGAATAGAAAATCCTGATATTAACCCACACACCTATGAACACCTGATTTTTGAGCAAACAGCTAAAAGTATACAATGAGAGGAGGAAAGGATCTTGAACAAATGGTGCTGGCACAATTGTATGATGGTGTGTAGAAGACTGCAGATACACCCATGTCTATCACCACACACAAAACTCAATTCCAAATGGATCAAAGACCTCAACATAAATGCAGCCACACTGAACCTCTTAGAAGAGAAAGTGGGAGGTACCCTTGAACAAATTGTTACAGGAAACAGCTTCCTGAATATAACTCCAGGAGCACAGACACTGAGATCAACAATTAATAAATGGGACCTCCTCAAACTTAGAAGCTTCTGTAGGGCAAAGAACACAGTTGACAAGACCAAACGGCAGCCCACAGACTGGGAAAAAATATTCACCGATCCTACATCTGACAAAGGACTGATCTCCAAAATATACAAAGAACTCAAGAAACTAGTCAACAAAAATACCAAATAGCCCTATTAAAAAATGGGGTACAGAACTTAAGAAAGAATTCTCAATAGAGGAAATCAAAAAGGCTGAAAGACACTTAAGAAAGTGCTCAACATCCCTAGCTATTAGGGAAATGCAAATCAAAACAACTTTGAGATACCATCTTACTCCTGCTAGAATGGCTAAAATTAGAAACACCAATGACAACTTACGCTGAAGAGGATGTGGAGAAAGGGGAACACTCCTCCACTGCTGGTGAGAGTGCAAACTTGTACAGCCATTTTGGAGATCAATATGGAATCAGTCTACCACAGACCCGGCAATCCCCCTCTTAGGCATATACCCAAATGATCCACATCCATGAGACAAAGACATGTGTTCAACTATGTTCATAGCAGCATTATTTGTAATAGCAAAAACCTGGAAGCAACCTAGATGCCCCTCAACTGAAGAATGGATAAAGATGATGTGGCACATCTACACAATGGAATACTACTCCGCGGGGGAAAAAAAAAAAAAAAAAAAAAAAAAAAACAATGGAACCTTGAAATTCACAGGCAAGTGGATGGAACTTGAAGAATCCATCCTGAATGAGGTACCCCAGTCACAAAAATAGGAATATGATATGTCCTCGCTCATGTATGGATTTTAGACATAGAGCAAAGGATCATCAGCCTATAATTCACACCACCAGAGAAAATAGGATACAAGGAGGAATCTAAGAGATTCATATAAGGTCCCTCACAGAAGGGGAAAGGGACAAGATCTCGAGAGTACATGAGGAGTGGGGAGGGGGCAGTGAGTGAAGAGGGAACTAGGAAAAAGAGAAGGGGATGAGAGGAAAGCACTTGGGACTAGGAAGATTGAGTAAGGGGAGGAATGGACAAGAGAAGAGAGAGGGAGAAAGAGAGAGAGAAGAGAGAGCATAAAAGAGGGAGCCATTATAGGTTTGAAGAGAAAACTGAACCTAGAGAAATGTCCATAGACCTACAAGACTGACCCCAACTAACAATTGCAGCAACAATGGAAAGGCTACAATAAATGCTCTTCCCTGATAATGAGATCAATGACTAACTTATCCACAATCATGGAGCCTTCATCTAGTAGCTGATGGAAACAGAAGCAGACACCCACAACTAAACACTGAGCCAAACTGGAATCCAGATGCAGAGAGGGAGGACAAGACCAGGCTACAGAAACACATAGAGACAGCTGACCTGAACAAAGAGCTAATGGGCCCCCAGACTGACAGCTGGGAATACAGCATGGGACTGACTCAGACCCCCTGAACATGGATCTCAGATAGAAGGCCTAGGCAGTCTAAGTGACCTCAGACAGTGGATCCAGGATGTAATCCTGGTACACTAGTCCCTACTCAAAATGACTTGACAGATTTAGATGATCCCTCCTGGAGGGCCTCACCATACATGTGGAGTGGGGGGGGGGTGGTCAGAGAGCATGAGAGGTTGGGAGAGAAGGAAAGAGGAAGGGAGGGAGGGAGGTACAAGGAACTGGGATCAATATGTAAAATAGGAATAAAAAATAAATTAATATTAAAAAATAGAATATCTAAATCTTCTGCCAACCACTCCCTTGACACAATGAAATTCTAGTATCACCATTAATTTTGTTCTAGAGTTTTCCATTTGCAGCAAATAATAATGACACATAATAGGGCATTGATTAGATATTATTTTGTCACATATGATTATAAATGAAAAGAATGTAAGAGGAAATCAAAAGTTAAGAAAGGCCTTTAAATTAAAACACAATTTTCCTAAATGTGAACTAATTTACATGAAAACTTTACACAAAATACTATTTTATTTAAAATATATACTCCTGTACAACATAAAATGACATTAAAACATGAGGAAATCATGGTTTTAAAAGGTAAATACCACTCAAGTCCTTACCTTACTCTAGGCCGGATGGTAAATACTAATAGCACAATGTGGAACAATGCACAGTCAAGAGGAATAACCCACAAATGTTAACACTCAAATAAACAAATCCATTCCATTGCTATTGATTACTATTCTTCATGGTGTTATTTTTCTTACGTCTCAGTTTTTGTTTTTGTTTTTGCTTTTTAACCACTTTTAGTCACAGTAATGTGAACAGCATAGTAAGCAATGTAATAATACAGGCAATCTTATTTTAACTTGAAAGTCATCTGACATAAACTTTTATCCTTTAAGAAAATATAGCATTGGGGCCGGAAAGATGGCTCAGAAGTTAAGAGCACAGGTTACTCTTCCAGAGGTCCTGAGTTAAATTCCCAACAACCACATGGTGGCTCACAACCATCTGTACTGAGATCTGGTGCCCTCTTCTGTCATGCAGGCAGAACACTGTACACATAATAAAAAAAAAAAAAAAAAAAAAAAAAAAAAATTTTTTTTTAAGTAATCAGGAACTTCTTTTTTAGAAAAAAGAAAATATAGCATTATGACATAAGAGATTTATTTTTAAGCAATGACAATTTTTCTAAAATTCTTGAAGACTGGGCCCCAGGTAAAATGACAGAATATTTGCCTAAAACAACAAAACCTTAGATTCCACCTTCCATATAGTCAAAACTGCAAATAAAAATAAAGCTGACCTTAAGTTATACAGTAGTAAACAATTTTTTGACCTTGATATGTATTTTAATGACAAAAGTTAACATATATGTGTAAGTAAATACTATTAAGAAAACATTAACAGAAGTCAAAAGCTTTTCTCACCCATTTCTGTGTGTATTTTTAAACTATATTATAAAATTACTTAATACACATACTAAGCAAAAGCAATACTTTTTATTGGTTTTTAAAATTATAACCCATATTTTATTAAAACAAATGCATTATTGCAATTATATATTTTTCCAATATTGTATTATGTCTTCTTTTACATAAATGTTTCATTGTTAGTTAATGTCTAAGTAAATAACAAGTAAATCTTGAGGGGAAAAAAATCTTACAGAAGGAGCTGGAGAGATGGCTGTTTTTCCAAAAGACCCCAGGTTCAATTCCCAGCACCCACATGGCAGCTCACAACTGTCTGTAACTCTAAGGTCTGACACCCTCACACAGACATACACTCAGGGGAAACACCAGTGTACCATAAATAAATAAAACTTACAGAAATAGTTACTGATGTTTTTCCAATGGAGGATCATACATTCTTACTTTCACTGGACCACTGTTTAAACTTTCACATGGCAGTCTTTACCTCTAAAGTTAAAACATACTATATGGGGAAAATAAGAATGGTATTTGTCTATAATTTTCAAATTAAAAAATATTTAAATATACATCTAAATGAGTTTTATGTGAAGACAAACACAATTCAGACCAAAAAAAGATAAGAATCTTGCTTTGTACAATTAAAAGCACACCCAGAATATTATGCAATTTTTAGATACCATATTTTTTTAAAAGGAAAATAAACAAGATTCACAAATGAAGAAGACCCCATAAGCCAGGTAATGGTGGCACATGCCTTTAATTCCAGAACTTGGAAGGCAAAGGAAGGTGGATCTCTGTGAGTTTGAGGCCAGCCTGGCCTACAAAACTACACCAAGAAACCCTGTCTCAAGGGGGTGGAAAAAAAAAGGAAGAAAAGGAGGAGGAGAAGAAGCCCCATAAGATGTCAAAAGAACATAAGTAAATCTGACATTACACAGCAGTCAAAGATACCAAGGTCACTTAAGCTTTCTAAAGAAAGGGTATGGAAAAGAAATCACAGTAAGGGAGGCAGAGGGGAAGGGATAATAGTAAGGGAAAATTTAGGTCAGTCTAAAGACATCTGCTGAAATACAAAACCGACATAGTGAGTTCCTGATGACAAAGTGTCCATGCAGATGATGACCACATGTACTACATGTAGCCCCTTCTCTAATGCTCATTGAGTGATACATGTTAGGCACAGTAGACCCAAAAGAACTCAGTAATATTAGAGGGAGAAAAAACAAGAAATATCCCTTTTTACTTACCTTCTTTTCCTCCTGCAATACTATTTCTTCATAAAGCCGTGGTATAAATGTACAATAATCATGCTGTTGATCTTTCTTGATGTTAATATTTTCATAATGTAATGTCCTTTTCCTTTGGAACATTCAGATAGAAAATAAGAGTTTTCAATTTTAAAACCACAACTATTTGCATAAGCAAAGATAATTTTTACAGCAACAGTTTCTGATTTAGATGACTTTGATAAGATCACTAGGTTGGGCCAGCACATTCAAATTCAAATGAAAATGCATTTTCAAGTAGTTGCTTTATTTTTTAAATCTAGATCACTGGGGCTGCAAGGACAGTTCCCTGGGTAAAGGCACTTGCTGTCCAGCCTGATAATCTGAGTTTAATCCCTGGGACCCACATGGTAGAGGAATACATCCCTACAAATTATCCTCTGACATCAGCATGGGTGTGAGTATACATGCACATTATACAGACACACATGACAAGGAAGGAAATTAAAATTCAGAGCACAGTTATAAAATTGGTCAAATAATTATTCTATAAGGAAAATGGGACATGACGATTACAGCATGAACTGACATCATCAAAGGTAACCAAAAACAAAGTTTCCTGATATTCTACTTACCACAAAAAAAAAACTTTTTAAAATCTAAAATCCCTTGGTATTTTAATTTCTGGTTAAAGTAAGAAAAAAAATAGTCCTCTCAATTTATATCATAAAGCACTAAGCAGAAGGGCATAAAAATCTCTGAGGAGAATAAATGTGTTTCCATTGTGGCTAGACAATTTAAAGAAAATGGAGCAATAATTAACAGTCCCAAGTCCTGAAGTCAGACAGATGACAGGAATCTCATCTATTAGCTCTATGATGTAATACAAGTCACTTTTCTCTTAGCTTTGGATTCATCCATAAGTAGACATATTAACAACTAATTCTTAATAACACAATGGAAAGAGTAGAAAACAGTGGTGTAGTATTTAGTGCCATCCATAGTTCATTATAAACCCACTATAACTTTTGGTATTAATCATAGTTAGAATTATATTTAAGTAAACCATACTTGCCATACTTCCTATTTATTAAAGAAAACTTCAAAGATATTCAAAAGTCAACCTTTTAAAAAAAACTAGACTGACTACATAAAGATTAAATTAAATAGGTAACAGAAAAACAAAACTGTAAGTTATATAATAGTAGCCACAAATTTCAATATTCTGTGTTGTGAATTCAATGTACATTCACTATTCTGGATCATGCTTCCACTAATTTTATTTGTACAAATTTTAAGAAATAAGCTTATTTTTTATAACTTCAAATGAGTTTGAGGCCATGAAATAAATGGCTACAAGTTATATTAGAATTATTATGTATTATGTATTACTTATGGCCATTTCTTTCCCAAATAGGAGATTATAAGTGAATCTCCCCATTCATACTGGCCAATGATCCCTTTGTTATCTGATAAATCTCTCAGAATTCAAACTCAAAATGGTCCAAATAGAAGGAAATATATACTAGAAAATGTCCACTAGAGAATGAACAAAGACAACTCCAGATAAAATGTATAGTATTGCAGGCAACCACATCAAAAAGCAGAAAAGAATAGTTGCAGAATTTCTGAAGCCATCAAGAACACAATATAGTATGTTATCCTGCAGGTCACCATGGGAAAAAAAGGTAAAATGGGGAAATAAAAAAAAGATTTACAAATCCCATAAAATGGGTAGATCAACATTAGAAGAAATGAAATGACTGGATGGATAAACTACCAAGCAAAACCAGACGAACTATGATTACTGCCCTGGCAGCTCTTCACTTTGTTTCTGGCAGCTCTTCACTTTGTTTAGACGAGACAAGCATGGAAGAAGAGCAAATGGGGAAACTGAGGGAAGGAAAGGAGAGGATTATAATATCAACTAACAGATACGTAGTCATCCCAGGCTAAAATGAATGGTTCACAAAACTGAATCAAAAGTTATTAATCTGGGCAAGGGGCTGGTAGTGCCATTCCCTTCAGGGGCCATTTGTTCTTTTGTTTGTTTGTTTTGTTTTTTGTGTTTTTTGTTTGTTTGTTTGTTTGTTTTCAAACCACAACATTCCACTCTTTGGCCCTCAAAGCCTTACAGCCATGTCATCTCTCCATTCCCTTTATTCCTGGAACACAGGACTTGCTCCATTCCACTTCCTGGTGCTCCTGTCTCCTCAAATGGTTTCCCTTGCTCAGCTCACTCCTTTTCATTGTGTATCTTCATCAAAATTGACACTAGTAATAGCACAACAGAGTCTACACTGGCTGTTTTGAGATTTCCTCTGCCAAGCACACTAATCCAAAAATCTTTACCTCAACTTCAGGAAAACTTTTTGGACAAGGGCAAAAGGCAGCCATATTCTTCACCAAACTATCACAGGACCAATTTCTAGGCAACATACTAAAGTTCCTCTCCTATGAAACCTCTTCAGCCAGCTCCCCATAGTTCATATAATTCTCAACTCCACTATCTTCCATGCTACTAGTGAAAGACTTAAACTAGCAAAGAAATGAAATGGAACCCAAATAATTGGAATGCAGGGCAGTCTGACCCAGAAAGCTGACCAAGGCCACTGTGACTTAGTTCCTGGAATTTGGCTAACCACCTGCAACCTTTCCCTTACAAGGCCCTAAGACAGCCAGATACCAAGAATATCCAGATGGGACCTAGAGAAACAAAGAGATAGCTGCAACACCCATTTGCTTAGGCAAGATTGATTAGCACACCCTGAGGTCTGCTGACCTAAATAGTGAGACCATCTAAAAAGGTAAAGACCATGCTAGAGCCCATGACTCTGGTCACATACTCAAAGGGCAGAGGGTCACGGCCCCTCCTTAAGCTTGTGGGTTTTGCCTTTTAAAACACTTGTGCCCAGAGAATGACGCTTCTCTCTAGCCTGCGTGCTGAGGGGGCCGTTTGCAAAAACATTTCCCGTTCATTAAAGCCTTTTGCTTGTTGCATCAACTGGACTGGACACTGAGTTCTTGGGGGAACCGACCGACATGGGGAGACTCCTCATTCTGAGGGTCTTACACTAGCATGGCCCATGAAGCAGCATTTAAAGCATTCAACTACCTTTCTAACACACTCAACTCCTAAAGTCCATCCATATTACAAAAAAAAAGCCATGCTATGGCCTATCACAGCAATATCAAGTATCACCTTCTTTGTTAGGGTTTCTATTGATGAGACAACATTTATAAAGAAAAACATTTCATTGATTTCATTGGGATGGCTTGCTTATAATTCAGATGTTTAGTACATTATCATCATGGTGGGAAGCAAGGCAGCACGCAGGTAGACATGGTGCTAGGAAGGAGCTGAGAGTTCTTACATCCTGACTCACAGGCAACAGGAAATTGTCTGTCTCAAAGTGCATGGCTTGAGCATACATGTGACCTCAAAGCCCTCCTCCACAGTGACACACTTCCTCTAACAAGACCACACCTACTCCAACAGGCCACACCTCCTCATAGTGCCAATCCCTTTGGGTGCTATTTTCTTTCAAATTACCACAGATTACATAAGTAAGTATGCATTTCTAGCACAATTACTAAAAGAATAAAATACAAAGGTATATCTTTCAGATTAGGAGAGAAAAACAAGAATAATGACCTGGTATAAATTTCTCAAAAGAAGCATCAATCTTTATTCTTATTGTATTACTAAATTCAATATTTGGTCAGTGAATGAGCTATAGCCAAGAGTCTAGGCCTCCAACTATGTCCACTGCTAGCATGCAGGTGTGTCTAGGTCTGCATACAGAGTAAATAAAAATAAATAAATAAAAAAAAAACTTCCCAAGAGAAAACTCATGCTGTGAGGAATGAGCCATCAGAGAAGCTGGGATCCAATAAACTAAGAAGAGTAAACCATGACTCAGTGTTGGTAAAAGTACTTGCCACAAGAGCCAATAGTGGAAGGAAAGACTGACTCTGGAAAGTTCTTCTCTGGTGTACATGGGAAGAGGGAAGGCTTACACTATACACACAATTTTTAAGACAAAAAAAAAATCTATAACTAACCATATGGAGCAGAAGCAAATGATGTACCCCCAGCTCTTCACTGGGTCAGAGTTAAGTAGGCTTGTGCTATGGCCTAACCACAGCCCTAACTTTTGTTCCTACCTATTCTATGTTCTTTGCCATGTATGTGTTTAACTAAATCATAGGCTGTGAAAGGGTTTAAAAGTCAGGTATTTTCTTAGGCTGTGAAAGGGTTTAAAAGTCAGGTATTTTCTTAGGCTGTGAAAGGGTTTAAAAGTCAGGTATTTTCTTTGTTCTGGGGGTTTCTCGGAAGGCTTCTCTGGCTACTCTATGCCATCCTATCCATGGCAGCTTTCTCTTTTACTCATACTTTAAGCTATCTCTTTCAGTGAAGCTCTCTAGTGTTCTAAATAGAAGCATCTCTTTGTCTTAAAGTCCTTGTTAACAATGGGTTTAACATAATTACTATGTCCTTGAAATGCTTTCTCATCTCAAGGTCTGATAATGGTTCATGGCCCTTTCTCCTAATAAAGCTACTTCCTGCAGGTAATTTATGTGACAGCTCCTTTTCAAACCAACCACTTCCGCTCATTCTTATATCTAAGAATGGGATGGCCATGAGACTCACTAACTCAGAACATCTTCTCAAATAGTCATCTACTCAGAAGAACAGAGGCAAGCCAAAGGTTGGGGGAGTCTGACCCACCTTCTTTAAGATATTCTAGGATCTGACAGACTTTGAAGACTCCTCAAGGAAGGCCTCACCCTCCCTAGGGAACAGAAAGGGAATGGGATGGGAGTTGGTGGACGGAACAGGGGAGGACAGGAGAGTGCAAGAACTGGGATTGATATGTAAAACAAGCTTGTTTCTAATTTAAATTTTAAAAAATCATTTTTAAAAACTATTCTAGGATCTTTTGTTTATTTTAAATTAAGCACAGTATGTCTTAATGATTAGGTGCATAGGATATGTGCTCAAAGAGGTCTCACTTAAAGTCTAGTTCTAGCATTTTACAGTAATATAAGCTAAAACATAATGCTTATATTCTCTGATGCTTGATTTTTTTCACTAATAAAATAGATAAATAACACTAACTACAAAGGAATTCATGAAGACTAAATGACTATATATATATATATATATATACATATATATATGTATATATACATATATATCAAGAGATATTGTCAAAAGTCAAGCTCATGAGAAGGCAATGGTTTTCTTAAAGATTATTCCAAAATATAATACTTCTTGGAGTTTTCCATACTACTTTTCCTTTCTTAACAGAATAGCCTAGTCTGAACTAGAACAATACAACAGTGCTTAAGATGTCTTTTCCACTCACTCTCCGGCCAAGGTTCCACTGTGTAATCCTTGAGGACCTGATAATCATTATGTATCCAAGGCTAGTCTTGAACTTGCAGCAATCCTCCTACCTTGGCCTCCCAAGTGCAGGAATCACATGTGTGTACCACCATGTCCAATTGCTATTTGTTTTTACTTACTGGATGATATCATACTGTCCAGGACCAGGACCTGAATATTTGAGCAATTCTTGTCTTCCTGTAGCATTGCCAAAATGTACACCTTTGTATTTCAAAGTTGATTTGGGATAATCCTACAATATAGAAAGAAAAAGAAAAAAGAGCATGAGGCAAACTGAGAAACACTGTGAAATTTGACTGAGGTCTAACTACACAGCAAGATATCCTCAGTTTAGAAATGTCCAACAGTAAAATCAGGCATTTATTGAGGGTAGAGCAAAGGGGTTGTCTAGGGAGTCTTCAAGTTGCATAGTAAAAGTCTCAGGATTGGCGCACCTCTGAGCTGAGGGGTATCTATCTTGAGTTGATTGGTCAGTTGCAGCTGCAGAAAGGTTGTTTGTTATACCTAGAATTAATCTGAGGACCATTACTATAGTTACTGCATTCCACTCTTATCATTAAAGTGCATTCAGAACCCACCAACTAACTTCTGATTGGTTCCTTACCACATAGAGGGTATCTGGCAATTTCTTCTCAGTAATTAGAGCAAGGTCAGGGGCTCAGCACATACTGAGTCAGGGGCCTACATCTTGAGGACCTGGGTGAGGGCCTAGGCCCTTCAATGGCAGCTCAAAGCCATCTGTAACTTTAGTTCCTGGGGATCTGATGCTCTCTTATGGCCTCTGTGGGAACTTTACTCATGTGGTACACATATATACAAGCAAGCAAAACAATATATAAATTAGCATAAATAAATCCTATAAGAAATAAACCATTTACGTTTTTTTTAATAAAAAGGCTACCATAAATGCCCTTCCTGGATAGTGAGATCAACAACTAACTTATCCACCATTATGAGCCCTCATCTAGTACCTGTTGAAAACAGAAGCAAACACCCCTAACTAAACACTGAGTCGAACTAGAATCCAGATGCAGAGGGAGAGGACAAGACTAGGTTGCAGAAACACAAAGAGACAGCTGACCTGGACAAGGAGGAGCTAACGGGCCCCCAGACTGATAGCTGGGAAGCCAGCATGGGACTGACTCAGACCCCCTGAATATGGGTCTCAGCCAGAAGGACTGAGCAGTCTAAGGAACCTCAGACAGTGGAACCAGGATGCATTCCTGGTGCACAAAAGGACCTTGCAGACACATCCACCACCTAGAGACAGGAGAGAAGTCCTAGACCCTACTTCAAATGACTTGACAGATTTACATGACCCCATCTGGATGGCATTGCCCTACATGTGGAATCGGGGTGGGGGATGAGGGGGGAGGGTGGTCAGGGTGCATGTGAGGGGGGCAGAGAGGGTAAGAGGGAGTGAGGGAGGGAGGAAACGAGGAAGGGAGGGAGAGGGAACTGGGATTGACATGTAAAATAATAAATAAATAAATAAATAAATAAATAAATAAATAACTTTTAACAGAAGATAGAAGATAAACTCTAGATTGCTTATTGTTGATTCATCTGAAAAGCTGTTTTTGTAAACTATGGGCATCTTGTTTTATGTATTTGTTGTTATGCCTACATGCATGACTGTGTACCACATGAATGAAGTTCTGGAGGAACCAAAAAAGACACTGGATCCCCTGGAGCTGGAACTATAGTTATAGATGACTGTGAGTTGCCCTATGAGTACTGGGAATTGAAAGAACAGGCAGTGCTCTTAACCACTGAGCCATCTCTCCAGACCATAAAATAGTTTACATAAGCTTGAATTACTAAACCATTACTATATATTGAATAAAATCCCTGTAACATGTAGTTTAGCTGCATAAACAATGTATCAAGTAGTCTAGGTGACTTAAAAGCACATTGTAATAAATGATCAATTATCATTAAAAACATAATCAATGCAACAAATAGAAATGTTAGCATCACAAAGTACAATTTGAGTTCAAACTCCTATCTATTGTCCCTCACCTAGACTTCAAGGGTTGTATAAAACAGACACATTAAAGGATCCCTGGAGCATGCACACGGCCCCACTGCTTGTGAAAAAAGCTGCAACTGAGCTCTGCTAACATTTCAGAAAGGGGAAGCTGGAGATGATGGTGGACTCTTTGGTAATGAATAGGCAGTGATTTCTAGTGAGAGACACAACATTCAAAAACTTTGGGATACTGTGACAAAATCCAAAGAGAAGCCACTGCATCTGGACCTAAAAGCTGAGTGTGGGAAAATGGAATTACCAGCTGTTGTCTGGCGGTTTCCTCTGAGATTAAAATCTTTCATCTTAGAGAAAAACTTGTTAAGAAGCAGGATGTTAAAGGAGAGCTACAACAGCAGGGTGCTCTAAGGAGGAAGCTTGTAAAGACACAGGATATGAAAAGTAAGACAACAACAGGATGTTCTAACATTCCATCCTGCAGGGAAGCTCATTAAGCTCAGGAAGTAAACAACTCCATAGCTTTGGGAAGTCACTGAAACTGAACAGACTCACTGGGTCCCTCCTTTCCCGAGTGAAGATAAGCAGAGAGGACTGCTGAGAGATGCTCTTGGGCAAGCTGTGCCGCCTGGAACAGACAGAGATTAAACAAACCACCCAGAAGAAACAGACTAATAGAGCTGACTGGAGGAGGGCAGAGACCAGAAGAATGCCTGAAACAGCTTAGGTCAGCTAAGCTGGCTGCCTGAGTCACTCTCCAACCTGTTAAACTGCCTCCAGGCTGGCAGTGAACTCCAGGTTGCATGAGCTGTCACCTATGTTGGGGGGTGGGGGTGTCTTTTGGTGATGCACTTGTCTTTGAACCAGTTTTACTCCTGTGGATAACCCCTCACCCATACACACCTGTGACTAACCTCAATAAAACTCATTGATTCACATTAGACTTCAGTAGTATCTGTACTTTGGCCTGTTGTTGATTACTTGTCTGAGGTGGATAAATGTTTGTTTCCATCACCCCAGGAATAGTGTCACACAACAGTTACATTCAGGCAGGATTCCGGTGTGTTTGTTGATGTCTTCCATCGAAAAGGGGCAAATCACTTGGAAGATGAGTATGAAAACTAACACTGGGAATTAACTAATAATGATGACCTAACTAATAAAATCTTAAAATTAAAGCAATAGCAATGCCAAATACTGAGTATTTTCTGATGATTGGATTTGCATTCCTCAGTGGATTAATACCTTTATCTTATAAAAGGAAAGAAATAAAATAACTTATTTTATTATCAAGGTGAAACTGACCTGAAAGGCTACTTCCTTGAGGAACTAGCTTTCAGAGTATCAGAATACACTATGCCAGCTGCTGATGGAAAACAGTCCTACCCAGCCCTAAAACAAACAAGCACTAGCCAGCCCAGTAAGACATGTCTAGCAGTCCACCAGTGACACTTTTATCTGGAGTAACTCATCCCTGGTACTGTAAATCCAGTCCACTACTCATGGCTGGAGAGGCTGTGGACTCTAGGGGAGAACGCTCTACTGTCTTGTCATTTTCCTAAGCCAATATAATTGCTAACTATATTACAAATGTTTTCCCTTATATCCCCAAGAAAGTATGGCTCTTATCCCTTATCAAAATTTCTTTTTGCAGCAAATAGAGGATAATACAGAGATTCTAAAATGGTCAAGATCAGAATATAAATTATTGTGGGGTGTCTAGCCACAACTGATACATTTACAACACAACCCTGATTCTAAGGCTCAAGGAGAATCCAGGAAGAGGGGGCAGAAAGATAGTTAAAGTCAGAAATCAGAATACCTGCTACCAAATAGTGCCTTCTAGACCTGGCAGGGAGCTCACACTCACAAAATCTGCCAAGACTTTCACAATGGCCACACAAGCTGACATGCCAGTGTGAACAGGAAAACTTCACAAGGTCCCAACCCAAAGTAGTCATATCTAAGTACATCTACTCATAAGTAACACTAAATGGATTCAATAGCTGAGTGTGCGTGTATGTGTGCATGTGCATGCATGCATGTGTGTGTATATATAACGAAAACAGATGTGTGTGTGCTCGCACATATGACAAAAAAAGGTCCTGAGTTTGAGAGGAATTGGTGGGACTGATGGGGAAGTTAGAAGAGAGAGAAGGAAGGGTGGAAAAGATGTGAATACAATGCTACTTCATTAAATACTCAAATACTTTAGAACAAAAAAGAACTTTTTCTCAAGCATTGACAAAAAATTGTCAAACATGGTAGGGCACACCTTCATCCCAGCACTCAGGAGGCAAAGGTAAGTAAATCTTTAAAGTTAAATGCCAAGCAGAAAAACATACTGAGACCCTGTCTTAAAATTATAAAAAAAAGAATTGATAAAAGTCAGTGCTATTTTGGAACACCTTGTAATAAAGCATAATATCAAATATATATAAAATGGGGATTGTCATAGCAGTGATAGATGACACTGGTTGTAATGGTCAGCAGAAATACCACTTGGCAAAGACTGTAGTGTCTGGTGGATGGAACTATGTTCAGTGTAAACAGACTTACACAGGAAACATAGAAGAGAGTCTCCAAAGACTTCAGAAACACCCCAGAAAGCAAACGCTATAGAAGGCTAGAGGTACTCTACCAAGATTTAAAAAAGAAAAGATGAAACACTGATGTCTGAAGGGTAAATACTATTGTCTGTTGTTATTGTATTTTTTTAGGAAATGTTATATTATATAAACAAAAGGATTTAGCCTTATTTCTTCTAGAATGTTTTTAATATTCTATATGTCTCAGTGTGTTTGGATTACTGAGCTATAGATACCTTATGAATTATAACACAAAGAGACAGTTTTCTCTTCACTGTGGGCATTCAGCTTTAACACCATGAGTGATGGGTGAATCAGTCCCATAAAGCATTACATCAAAAGAAGATATATTGTTATTATTGTCATTACAAGTAAGGGTTCCAATTGATATATGAAGATGAATCTCAGCCTCTTATCAGATCCTTCAAAGAAAAGTCTATGAACAAAGTGAAAGAGCTGTCTACCAAACTCTGTAAGTGTGTGTGTGTGTGTGTGTGTGTGTGTGTGTGTGTGTGTGTGTGTTTCCATGTTATGGGACTCCTAAGGATAGCAAAAAAGAAAATTAGAAAACCTAACACAAAAGGAAATAAGAAAAGGTATCTAAAGTTCTTAAACAAAAGAGGTTACATGAATTATTTTCCAGGTTCTTCAAAATGA